AAGCCATGAGTCCACAGGAAACCATCAGCAATATCTTCCTTCCAGCTTTTTCAATGGCCCACGAGACACACAATGTTACCACAAACCTGGACGATTCCCAGAATGATGACGCACCAATGCGGTTCAAGGTCGGATCCAGCTGCTAAGAAGATCTCCTGTGTGTAGAACGTGACCGCGTTTATTCCACAAAATTGCTGGTAGACCATCAACGTGAAGCAGATCACAGTGGCTTTTTTGCTGCTTTCGTTTTGATGGCCACTTTGAAGCCGGCCATCTGCTTTCTTGATCGATGGCAGCTTGTATCGCCTGCAATTCACCTCTGATGTCATAGTCCTTTCCCCTGAGTCTCTCCAACGATTTCTCGGCTTTTCCTTGCTTGCCTTTTCGCATGTAGTAGGACAGGGCTTTCGGGTTGGAAAGCAAATACTACAGCGAACACAACCGGTATGGATGTGCAGGCTATGTTGAATAGCCGTATAGATGGCATGGCATATCCGAAAACATTAGAGAACAATATTCCGATTGTGATGAATAACTGGAAGAAGGTACCTAAAGTTCCTCTGATTTCTGGTTCTGATATTTCGCTAGTGTACAGCGGCCCGCACACACAGAACGACCCACCTCCTATTCCGCAAAGGATTCTACCGGCGTACACTATGCCTTGTGGTTAGCAAATAATATTATGACCCATCCTAGAAAAAGAGGAATGGCTGCTAACAACGCAGCGCCCCTTTCTTCCAGGATCATTTCACAGATGAAGCCCATTGGAATGCACATGATCATTGCGCCTAAGTCATGCATGATCCTGACCATCCCAGCTGATCGTCGTCCATCTCAAGTTCATTCAATTTGCCATTCTTTAGGTCTTCGCAGATATTCGAGGTCCATCCTATGACACTTCCCGTGCCGAAGGCACCTATGGAGACGCACACTGCCGCCAGGTACTGGGGGAACTTTTTTCCAGAAGACATTTCATATCAATGGGTATCAAAATGTGAAGCAAAAAGCATGTGACAGCTGAAAAATGTCAATTCTGAGAGTGACATTCGCAAATATCCCTTCAGAGTCTCCTGATAGGAGAAACAGGTTATTTCGTCTCTCATAGGGCGAATTTTTCTTGCAAGCGGTTTTGGTTGTAGTCGACATTAAAATGATTTTATAGTGGTCGGGCAAGGTTCTGATAATGGCGTAATTAATTACGTCTTTTAGAGGCTAGGAAGCGACTGACCACTTCGAGTAAACTAACGGCGATTTTTTAGTTTAAGTAATTTGTGTGTATTATCATAGTTTTCATCTAGTTGACAATGATTGTGAGCAAAATGGATTGTGAATGATTTCTGGAATTTATGGAGAACATCGAGGAATCGCCTACAACTGAAAGGGTACCAGGAGGATATTTGAGTCATAATTCCGGTCAGTTTCAATAAACACAGCTAAAGAGATTGTCAATGGCGATTTAAAGAGGATATCAATCAACGATGATGAGAATTATAGGAAGGGTATGATGCTTAATGCTTAGAAAGTTATTTGAAATACCTACTTTTTCCATCAGTCTCATCAGGCATTGATGGGGTTCATATCAATCAAAAACCCAGGAAGAGAAGTAGAAGAGATTTTCCGAAATAGAAAAGGAAATTTCTCTTTAAATGTTCAGGTTGGATGTTTGAATTTATCAGAAGAAATGTATGAAATAATAGTTTGCTTCTTAGATTGCAACTGAACCTTCCATGAAATTTTTGGGCATAGTTGTAAGATACCCAGGGTCCATGTATGACAGTGTTATCTTTGAGAGATATTTGAAAAACCTGATGATGGGACATAATAATGATAATTTGATCGCTTACATTTTTGTCGTCTATCCCTAACTACAAGTTTTGATGATAAACAACTCAAAAAGTTTACATGACCCATGGGCCAATAGATTTTTGTCTAAATGGCTTTATAGTTTACAACTTTAAGTGCTTTATTGACCACAATCACCACAATCTTACTAATTTTTGATCTAATCTAAAACGTTTTTAAATTGGGTAATTAACAAATAAATGGTATTAAGTTTTCCTAAGTTAAGCCAAAATTTGTAGTCACTAGTAAGTAAGTTTCAATAAATTAAATATTTAAAACACACATGACAACAGCGCGTCGGTGATTCATCACACTTATTGAACCGGCAATCGACCGCAAACGGTAACAGTGCTTAGTTATTGTTCGCGTACGTCGTCGTGTTTATTTAAATGTTCTCCAATCAAGAGTTCGCCGCCATGTTGTTAGTTTACGGTGAAGCTCGTCAGAATTCAAATCTTGCAGCTCAAATTTATCGCGACAGATTTGCCAACGGGTACACCCAGACAGAAGGATATTTGTGCAAGTGTACCAAAGACTTCGAGATACAGGAAGTGTTCAGCCCACTAATATTCGCACTCCTGAAAGACAGGTCACTGTAGAGCAGGAGGAACAAATTTTAAATATCGTGGAAATCAATGCAGATATCAGCACTCGGGAATTAGGCCGCCACGTAGGACTATCGCATACCATAGTCCATAGAATCCTACAGGAAAATTAGCTTTATCCCTACCATGTACAACGAGTGCAGGCCTTGTTACCAGAGAATATCCTCGCAGACTAACATTCTGTCAGTGGTTTTTGCACAAAAACATTGAAAATCCGGATTTTTTTAAAAACATTCTAGCGACGGACGAATGTACTTTTACGCGAGACGGGATATTAACCCTGGAACTGCACACTGGGGTCTGAGAAAAACCCAGGTATCCCCTCTCTTGTAAGTGCTTCGAAGAAACGTAAATAGTTCGGTGATAGTTCGGTGTAAATTCAGTCTGTAGTGAGGAGAGACAGTGCGTAGACGTTGGCTGTTATTTGTGCTATCTATCCCGTCCGAATATTGACTAACATCGGTGATGGGTACGGCAGACCCAGTGTGTGGTTTACGTTGATAATATTTATTTTGTATTTTATAGCTATGGCAAATTCTGACTGGGAAAATCGTCGTCCCTTAACGCAACGTGAGTTACAAAATGAGGTCGACAATGTGTGGCAAAATGAAGATGAGGCAGATAGTGACGAAGACTTGTTGGTGAATTATCTGACAGGGACGAAGATTATGTCGATGAACAACAGTCTGATACTGACAATGACACGAGAGTGATGATGGTGATGAAGTTGTGTTACAGAATCCTGGTATATCGAGCAGGAACACTGCTAGTATAATGGGCAAAAACGGTCATCGCTGGAGTACCAAAATACCAGAACGCAGAGGCCGCACAACGAGAGACAATATTGTTTTACATATGCCCGGTCCTAAACAACAGGCGAGATTAGTTCGCTCTCCAATAGAAGCATGGGAGTTATTATTTAACCAAGAAATGTTAGATATAATTGTATTACACACAAATCAAGAAATTGTGCGTAAGTGTTTTGAAAACTTGCCACAAAGTTATAAAAAGCCAACTAACCTTGTAGAGATTAAAGCTTTTATTGGGCTTCTCTATTTAGCAGGGGCCCTTCGACTATCAAATACGAATTTAGATGAATTATGGTCAATAAAGTACGGAAATGGATTATTTCGAGCTACAATGTCTCAACAGAGATTTCAGTTTCTAGCTCTCTGTTTACGATTCGATGATAAGAATGGTAGGGCTGCAAGAAAATTAGTAGATAAATTTACATATCCGACAGCTTTGGGAAATTTTTATTGAAAACTGTAAGTCGTATTACACTCCCTATGAAAATTGCACAGTGGATGAGCAACTTGTCAGTTTTCGGGGAAAATGTCCATTCAGAATATACATGTCTAGTAAACCCGATAAATATGGTATGAAAATAATGATGATGAACGACTCTAAAACTTTTTATATGGTTAATGCAATTCCATATGGGAAAAGTTAATGTAGAATAATGAGCCAGTACCTACTTATTATGTTCGGAAACTCTCAGAACCAATTCATGGAACCCACCGTAATATAACCATAGACAACTGGTCCACCTCTATACCTCTATGTGAGGAAATGTTCCATCAGTATAAATTAACAATCCTAGGAACACTGCGAAAAAACAAAAGAGAGATACCCACAAGCTTCTTAGGAAGAAAACAGTTGGCACGTCCCTTTTTGCTTTTGACAACAAAACGCTTGTTTCGTATACGCCTAAGCGAAATAAAGTTGTGCTTTTACTATCCACTTTGCATCCTGATTCATCCATTAATGTTGATACTGGAAAGTCAAACCTGATACATTCATATAATGAAACGAAGGGAGGAACGGATAGTTTTGACCAGTTATGTCATTCTTACACGACATCACGCAAAACTAGAAGGTGGCCCGTGAGAATATTTTTCAATATGTTGGATGCCAGTGGAATTAATGCTATGATTATATTCTCTCTTGTGAATCCAGATTGGAAAGAAAATACTAAAAATAATCGTAAAACGTTTCTAAGAACTAAGTAATTCATTAATTGAGCCACATTTACGAGAGCGGGCACAAGTGACCACGCTGCGATCATATCTTCGGCTTAGCATTAGTGAAATTCTAGGAATGGATGCGCCACAAAGACAGCATCCAGCAACAGATTGCCAGAAGAGGTTAGATGTGCAATATGTCCACGTGGTAAAGACAGAAAAACTAACTTTGGATGTTCTAAATGCTACAAACCATATTGTTTAGAGCACAGGGCAACTTTGCTGCCAATGTGAAGACACAAACTGAGTTTCATGGCTAAGAAATTTATTGAGGTGTATTTTCATTTTTCAACTTTTTTATGTTCTATAATGACTTTTTTAGACAATAAAATGTATTTAGCTTTTTAAAAGTTTTTTGTTGCATTTTTATTGATTACCTTCAGTTAATGTGCAATTGTATACTGATTTGTAATATTTTTGTTCTAATACTAACGTTGAACCCAATGAACAAATATTATTAAAATATTTTCTTCTACGAATTATATGATGTATTTTGACATAAAAAGTAAAAATATAATAATAACATACAACAAAACATACTTGGGTTTCTCAGACCCCAGTGTGCAGTTTATAGGATAAAAAATAAGTGTGCAGTTCCAGGGTTAAAAAACCACTGTTAATGTTTCTACGTAACAAAAATTAAACGTCCACTTTTTGCGCACTACCGGTAAAAAAGAAAATTCTTGCTCCGATACGTACTAGTTGACGGACCGAGAAGAACTGTGAAACATTTTTCTTATGAATGGCCATTTTACTATAGTGTGGAATGCGTATTTTGTGTTTGAGTTGTGCATTTTTTCAACTCATTATTTTTGTGCTATTTGCCCTAAGTTTGTTAGTGGTATTGAACTGTTACCTTCTGAACAATGGTGAGATCGTGTTATGTGTGCAAGATAAACAACAATAATCCAGAATCGGCTAATTTATCATTCCATCGGTAAGTAAGGTTATGTTTACATAACATGGGCGTAGCAATCCATATTTTACTGTATGAAGTATCATAAAATAGTCTTTTACCATCATTTTAGTAGCTTTTTGTAGCTTCCTGACGCGTTTATATAAATATATATCCATCACTAGCAGTATGATGTTCTGGGTGTAGCCCATCAAGTACAAAAATATCCACATAATCACAATCTTGAAAATAAAGTAACTAAACGTGAACTCTGCCATGTTTTGATCAGATTTTCATGCTAGCTAGTTTATAATAATTAGCCAGATAATTGGTGTAAGAAGCAATGGTGTAAGACATGTGTTTACAATTTTAGACTCCCACCTGACCCAGCGAAGCACATTATATGGATTTCACTGCTTGGCATTGACAGGGAGAAAACGTTGCCGAAATTGACACTGATATGCAGCAAACATTTTATGACAAGGACTTCGAAAATGATCTTGCTGGAAGAAAGCTTTTGAAGGATGGTGCTGACCCAGTAGATGTTCACTCCAAACATGATGAACAGAAGTATGCAAGGTAAATATTCATTATTTTATTGAGTT